ATATTATTATTATTATATATATATATATATATATATATATATATATATATATATATAATAATATATAAAAAGATTCGAAACATATCAATAAGAAACATATAAACATAGAAATAAGAAAGTGTTAACAACAAGATTGAAATATTCGAAGGAAAGATAAATTATTTGTATTCTCAAAGAGATTTAGTAATTATACAATCAAAACAAAGGACAAACATGCACATACATTGATTAATATAAAATCAATAACGTAGAATTAATAACGGATCAATAACGTTCTACTTACTGGATCGGGATCGAGGGTACTATTAACATGAATTTTTGTGGGTGGTGGTGACAGAGAGGGTCTGGATGCATCCAGACAGGACAAACTCGACAAAGTTAGACGAATGGATCTGATCAGGGCCTTCTTGGCTTCGTTTATCGACAATCTTTTGTCCTACACTCATCATCGAGACTATTATCATGCTAATTTTATTATCTTTCTGCAGTTTCATTGCATTTTCTACATTTTACCGACAAGAAAACAATACGCGTCTTACCTTGCTTTCGTACCTCTCTTTCATTCTTTCGTTCTTTACGGTATTCAGATATCTGCGACTTAGCTGCACAAAGTTTATCTGTCAAAAAAGAAATTTAGAAAATAATAATAAGATGAACAGAAAAAAAAATTGAAAAGTGAATAAAAAAAGCAAAAGATGTTAAGTAATTCTTTTATAAATCATAAAAATTTATTCGTACATCTTATAATAAAAAAAAATTAATATAGAGCTTTTTTTAGCCATTAACTTTAATTTCTTTTTCTTAATTTATGTGATAACATTAATAATAAACTACAAAAACAGACGTACCATTCCACTCGGCGTAATGTTGGAGTAACCGAATACGAAAGCACCTATGTTCAATGTTATTCTGATTAAACGCAGCATCACTAAACTCGGCAAGAATAAGAGCCAGGGCAATGGTCTCACGAGTTCCGGTTTTCCCAACGCTTTTTGATTCTCGTCTAAAATATATCGATTAAATTCTCGGTTGACGAGAAAGCTACTTTTTATCGTTTAAAATAATTCGTGAATCATACCTCCGACGTTTTCCTGTCTGGGTAAACTCCATTCCGTGCACTTTTCTACGATCCACAAAAAGTTGTCCGCGAATTTCAGCAGTGCCTGGCCCAATCTACTTTGCACCACGATTGATTGCAATAATCTCAATTCCATCCAGATGTAATTCTCTTGCGGTGCCTCATCCGTTGCCTAACGATACGAATACGAAACAAATAATTTGTTCAATCTATATTTACCGAGATATATTTCTATAAATATAATCTCAAAATACTTACTGTTTTTGATGAAGTTGCCGTGCATGCCATGTTTATATCAAAAGTGGCTTATTATCTAAAAAGATATTTGAAACAATACAAATGAAATAATATAAATATTTTTCTTTTATGATGGTACACATAATAATACATTTGTTCAGAAAGTTTCGATTGTAACATTGATTTAACGATTCTGATATTATATTGCTCGTTCGGATTCAGATTTCCATAAAGAAGACAAAAGAAGACAAAAAAAGCAAAGATTTCCATAAAATACAAATATCGCGGGCTTCAATGGGTTGGAGTAATGTTTACGGAGACACTGACGATAGTCGATGATCAGTGAACATGAATAAAATTCTTTCTCGTTAAATCTTAATGACTCAAGTTAAGTCCTAATGACTCAGAATGCAAAATAGACAATAAAGAAGGCGACGATGATAAATTATTATCAGAAAGGCATGACCTCAGTTTATCAGGGCGGAACGCCGAAAGAAATCCCAATAACGACATATTCTCGTCGCAAAACACAATATACACATGATCACATGGGTGAATTTAGTTATCTGTCGAAGAATATATTCAGAACTTATGTTTCGTAGACTTTAGACTCTAGGCGTTAAACTCTACGCATGCAGTTTCTCTTGAAGCAATTGCATTCATGTATATATATATATATATATATATATATATATATTATATCGATTATTTATTATTTTCAAAATTTTTGAAAAATAAATTTTAATAATAAAATTAATTCTTAATTTTAAGTATATTAGAACGAATCGTAAAAAATATATTGTAAAAACTTAATTTATTTTAATACTTGTAATTTTAAAGTGAGTCGTTTTAGTCGTCGCAAAGTTTGGATAGATTTTAATTTACTTACTCTATGAGTATCGATTCATTTACAGAAACGGAATAAAATTTCTTGCAAAATTAATCTATGTCGATTCTATGAAATATTGATTGATTGCACTTTCTTCAATTGAAATAACAATTTACATATGGTCGTTTTAATTGCGAGTTTACAATTTGAAAAATCCTCGCCAAGAATATACCACATGCATGACATAAGTGCCTATGATACATAAATAAAAATAATTTACTGATCACGCAGTTTCTTTCAAGCTGTTTTATCAACATTTTTCTCATGTGGTGAGTGTAGTCTCATGTAATTTGTTATTTAACAGATAATGACAATTTAATGTAATTTTCCTTTTGCAAGCAAAATTTGATAATATTGATAGGATATTATGAGATAATTTGTTATAATGATTGCTAAAAGGAAGTTGCACGTATATGTATTAAAATAAATCATACGTTAATATATTTAATTACGTAATTTTTGCTCTGTCCTTAATTTTAAAATTCGTTATATATTTAGTTAATAAATCGATTAATAATTAGATTTTTTTGAGCGTAAGCAATCTGATGCAATACAGAACTTGAACTTTAGTATTAATTATCAATATCATATTAATAGATTTGTTATAAAAATTTTTGAAGATGTTCGCTCTAATTTTTAAAGTATGTAATCAGAGGGCAAAGTTTGCGAATTAGAGACGTATGCAAGTAATATAACGTTTTATATATTATGATATTTATATTTATTTATATATAATTTTATCTAATTGTGTACTCTAGATTTGAAAATTCATAGTCACAAAAATCTACATCTTAGGCAATTATGTTGTGTATATTATCATCGACATAAAAATTATGTCTGTTCACTGTCTAATAAAAGCCTAAACTCGACTATTATCTTGTTCTCATTTACACGAGTTATTTCGTTATCGTAGTTACGATGTTTGCCTTTTTTGGCTTTTATCGTGTTTTTGTTCGATTCATGTATGTGGTCTTCTTGACCGTCAAATCTCATGCTGCCTATCGATACAAAATAAAAGAAAAAGAATCGGGTTTTTTCGTTGGGAACGTAGTTGGTATGTCTGCACATAAGTAGAAATAATTCAGAATAATGCAAATTATTAATTTAAATATATGGATTATAATCATTTAATTGAATTATAATCATTTAAATAATTGCTTAATCATATTATTTCAATCGCTTTGAACAAAGAAAATTCTTAATTGTTCAAAATTATATGCAATAACAAATATAATAGATTTTATTCTTCAAAGTATATCTTGAAAATTATATATCTGTAGAAGAAAATATTATTTAAAACTTATTCCATCGATATTATTTATAGGCAAGATATTTTCTTATTGCATTCATAATTATATTACTTAATCATCATAATAACGAACAATAAACATAGCAATTAACCAAAAGACATTATGGCAGTAAAAATAACAGTTAATTTATCGGATTATCTCTTTTCCGCTGATAAATTAACTAATTCACTTTAAAGTTTGCTTGTTTGAAATATCATTATTTGTACAGATCTATATTGTAGCTTCTACTAGATAATTCGATTAAATGTTTGTAATGTCAGGTCAAACAGGGCAGACTTTGAAATAGCATCGTAAACTGGTCAATACACAAATCTCCAGTTAATTTCAATGCTATTTATCATCTCTCTCTTTTTCTAAACTACACAGGAATATTATTAAATAGCTGGTTTTTTATTTGTATAAAAATTGATAAAGTATAATTTTACTTTAGTGCATGTGTTTAAAGCGCAAAGTAATAGGCATAAAGTAACTTCTTCGTCAATTATTATTATATCTTTGCGACATACAATAATTTTTGCAACCTGCTTGTTAAATTTTTTTAGTTTCATCGATTACCTCTTGTTGCTGCTCTTGCTCTGCTGCAACCACGTGCTCTAACGTCTTAGAGCTGCGCCCTTTACAATCGTTAACGGAAGCTGTACTCCTGATGAGTACCCTCACGCGCGAACGGAAAGCTGACACTTTCACAACTGCCAGATGTCGAGCGCAAACTGAGAAAGCCACAGTTTCACGGACAGTAACGTAACGATGATTAAGAGCGGCGCTTTATATGTTTACGAAGGTTCGTAATGATTTTCGAAGTTTGAAGAGAATCAAGCCTGCGGAACACAGCGCGTTTCTTTTTATGTTAAATAGCATAGCGAGCGGATAATTGAAAAATAATACAATACGTTAAATGTACATATAAATTTTTTGATTAAGAAATCTCAAAACTCTTCTTTCTTCTCTCGCATGACACTTTCTTGCGAATTCAACTGAGAAAGATTATAATTACAGAAATTATCAATACTTTCGATTGTACCAAATATTTCGAAACTTTTGAGGATTCGGAAAGTAATCTATACTGGAGTTGGTTTATTTAAACGTTTATTATATCGGCATTAAAATTTCAAATTTTGAAGCACATATGCGCGCGTACAGAGCAATGAACAGAGCGCAAGCCAAACTGTATTCCTCTTTCTCGCTGGAACTTAGTAAAGATGTAGCACGTAGTGCAAATTACATCCTAGACAATTATTTGACGATGATCGACGCTTTTCATTTAAATTAATTCAATTATGACGCACCTAATCAGTTGATTTTGACAATCAGAATCAATAATATTGAAAGCACACAGACATGCCAAAAACACGTAAGCGTCCGCAAAACGTCTACATGAAGTAATCCTTTCGCTCGTTGTCCCTCTCACTCGTTCGCTCTCGAAACATATGATTTTTACAAATTCTTGTTATCTTATGAAATTGAGATATAGCAACATCACGCTCGATGATGCTTTTACGATATAATTGAAGAAATACCTCGCGTTTGTTCGTGCGATTCTGAGTATTTTATCGGAATCTTAAATTCAACGCGCTTTAAGGCCATTCTTATATCTCGAGAGACTGTCATGGAGATGCAAAACATAATTGTTTCTTTCTTAAAATCGATTTGTATGAGATAAACGTTAATAGACAAATTTTTTTAATACGAGTTTTAACTTTAGTCTTATACATCTTCATAATTCAGCAGTCGAGTGCATAAACGTATCATTTTGTCTCACAATTTGCCTTCACGAAGTACACATTATCTAATTTATTGAAATCAAGATATCTGAATTATGCACATGATGTTTCTGTGTTTCTACGAATGTGTTATGCGATAGTTCCTACATTAACAAGACGCAGATAGAATATTAAAGCAGAATATGGAACATTAATTACTAACATGATGTACCCAGATTATCTCGTCAATAATGAAAATCTATTGCTTCACGCGAAATCACTGAATGTATCGGGCACATAGTACATAGAAAACGTAGACCAGCTTTTGCCGTTTTTCAGTAGGATTAATGTTTTAGATAACTAGATAAATAGATTTCAAAAGACAAAACTGTTGACAGGAGCTTCGTGACTCATTATCGATACAAACTTAATACAATTACAAACAAAACACTCACGCATTAAAAAAATGTATAGTTAACGTAAATCGCTAACAGTAACAGTACGGATGTAGATAACATTAATAGGTATCGGTATCCATAAATTTATGCGGTAATTCGAGAGTCATTGATCTTCAGAACTCTACCATTTTAACACTATGAGGAATTGTATTAATTTGTGATAGATTACTAGTTGATTTTTTTTCCTCTAATTCTATCTCCTCTCTCTCCCTCTTTTGGCAATGGCCAATAAAGAACAAGTTATTCAAGTGCACTACTCAACTTAAGTTATTCTAATGTAGTGCGAATCTTAATGTTTTTAATGAACTTTATTAACAAAACATATGCACAAATCTGCGCTAAAACTGTTGAATTTGCTCATGTAAAATAGCTTATATAATAATTATGCAAGGGATACTGGCTCACAGGCATGGTAAACTGAAACGCACTTGGATAATTTGCTGTTGTTCATTTCGATTATATTCGTAAATAAAAAAGGTTAATATTCCTCCTCATCATCGGGCGCAAGACCGTCGCCTTCTAATTCTTCAGGTGGTGCGAAACCATCCTAAAAAAGAAGAATAAATAGATAATTATATATAAAATGTAATATAAATATATTTTGTATTATACATAATCAAGCGATATAAAATAATTGCACATATTTCTCGAATTACTCAATCAAAAAATAGTATATACCTCTGTTGCATAAAGAACTTCTAAAATTTTCTGTACAATAGGTGGAGGATCGCCACTGTTGTCACAATCTTGGCACATGACTTCTATGTCACGTAATTTTCCAAAATAGAAATCTCTCTCTTTTTCCAGACCTTCGACTGACATTTTCAATTCAACCAACTGAAATACGTTTCATTAATTTTTATTAGAGAATAAATAGAAAAATAAGTATTACTGTGGATTGATTATTGTATAAAATGTGATTATGCGATATAAATATACCTGTGCACTGAGCTCTTCAATTTTTCCATTATCGCCACGGTTGCCGACTGTGTTTTTAGGTTGCGCACGGTATGCCGGCTGAACTTTATTTACTAGATAAAGAAAATAAATTGCTTTAAAATATCATATTAAAATCATAAGTAGTCAAAATTATAAAAAGTAATTATTTGTGATTATACTTCTATTAAAATCAATTAGAATAATTTATTTTTATTATAATTGTAACTTGCATAGAAATTAATAAAGCTATCTAAATATATAAATATACTAAATATATAAGCTTTTTTGGCAAGCAAAACACATGCAGTAAAAGATTAAAATCATGCACAATGTATATATTTTATAATCATAAATTACAGAAATATAATGTAAATAAAATTTTTTCACATTATGTAATAAAAGAGAATTGCAAGGCAAGTGCTCCTAAGAAATAAGAAATAATTCTCACATTCTACATTAACTTATGTAACAATATAGTGTATTAACATTCGATACAGTGACAGTGACTACTAGTGTTGATAAAGATGATAATTATAAACCAGTGAAAGTTAGAGTACTTATTGTATCATTGTGGGGGGGACGATATATCGCAACTACCAAATTTCATTTTCAGAAATGTATATGTTCACTGAAATTTTGCCTTTGTCTTAATTACTTTTTACCGTAATAATCAGAATTAACAAAAATATCACTCAGTCGTTGTAACCAATAAATATCACAATTACTAGGAACACACACACACACACATAATTTACTCTATACTTTCCTTCAAATACCTCAGTATTAAAATATATACGGAGCTATAGAGAAGCAAAATATAAATAACGAGAGTTACAGTTAAAAACAAAAAGAGATATAAATTTCACCTAAAGTGTTTGTACTATCTGCACGCATGGTAGATGGATGTCCCTCACCTAAAGGCAAATTTTATTTCAAGTTATTGATGATTAGGTAACAACCTAATAATTGAAACTCTTGTTGAAATATTTAGCAATGGAAAAATACGTAAATTTAATTCCTATGTCTTTTATAAAATCAGAATGAATTTTTTTTACATAGATTAATCCCCCTATCGAACTTTGCATTTGGTTTTGTAATATTTACCTTGCCTGCTATAAAATCAATCAAGTTTTCATTATGTATTCAGGATAATCAAGCAAATCATTGTCAATTATTGATTAGTACAAAATCTGTGTTAATGTACAACTTTGAAATTGTACTCAAGAAAATTCTCTTTTTTTTTTCAAATACCATTCTTTTTAATAATGTTAAAACTCAAATCTTTTTTGCGTCAAAAAATAAAATCATTAAATAATGTACCAGTAGTACGAGGGGCCGGTTTAGCCGAATTTATGTCACGTGGAGAAGCACGTTTCGCGTTAGAACCACCACGAGGTGCATTATTTCCGCCACTACCCATAGGCTCCCCTCCTCGCATAGTAAGCGCATCATATGGCTCTGCTCCCGAGTAGTTTGCATCAAAGAATTTCTTGAACCATTGTAAAAATTCAAAGTTGTCTTGGAACCTGCCTTTCACCAGCCTATCAATTGGCACAATCTGTAAATGAGGAGTGAAAGACGTGCAACAAAAGAAAATAAAACAAAATTAAATATAGGAAATTTTAAAAGAATACAGTGACTTCACATTAAAATTAAAAATTTTTAACACTAGAAAATAACTGTTTCTTATTATAGTTACACATTTTTGAAGCTTTTCCTATTGTTTTGTAATAAATATAAATAAATATAGAGAAGATATTTGACATTAATCTTTAAATATATAGAAAATTATATATATATATTTTTATATATTATATTTTTTGTACATCTATAAATTAGATGTTAGCTTTTCATCTTCATAATGTAAAAAAAATTAAAAAGTGCATGTATGTGAGATATGTATGTTGCGTATAACAATGTAAAGATAGCTTGTAACACGCTTATGCACATAAACTTAAAACAACGTGAAACTGAAACAAATTGAAGTATAATACTATTGCAATACTAATTACATGTGCATGTGCATATATATGTGTAATATTGTTTTTGTGGAATATCACCATTTAAACATACAACAACATGCAAAAAGCGGCCGCGAAAAATCGAGACTGCAACAATATACCCTGTTGCTGTCGCGGGACGCTGTTACGTTGCTGTATGTGTCTTTGTTGAATTTGCGGTTGTTTCGATTGTGGTGGCAAAGGTACCAACTGAGGATTTGACAAAGTGTGAGTTCCATCCACACCAGAACCTAGTGGTATGCAGCCGCGCGCTTCATAAGCGTCATATTCACGGCCATCATAATTTGCGTCGAAAAATTTTTTAAACCATTGTAGAAACTCAAAATTATCTTGAAAGCGCCCTTTTATCAGCTTGTCCACTGGTATTACCTGAACCATTTCCATGGTTATATCATTACAATTTCATTCGGCCTTACACAAAGTTATGCAGGTGATATGATCTTTAAATCTTGATATAACATCATAATTTATATTTGTTTTATAATGATTTACTTTTCAATATTTATCGAAAGACATCGTCTTTACTTACAGATAAATTCTTGCCACATGTTTACTGTCTTTAAAACAATTTGTCAGATATAGTAAGGAAAAAAGTAATTACTTGTTCTTACCTTATCCACATTCATCTTTTTGAAGCCACCTTGAAGAATTTTGAAATTCTGTATATATTCATGCTCCAGATTAGTTTTGAACTTGACCCTTTTCAAAGGAACACTGCCTGGGAAAAGCATATCCATGAATTGACAATAGACTGCTCCAGTGCAGAGCTCTTCAATCTTGGTGAACGAAGATTGCAGACAGTCGTTTACCCATGCGAGCATGTCATGACGGCTGAGATTGTCGGATGTCATATTTGTGGCGTACACATTAACAGCCATGTTGCTTCGTTTGCTTTAACTAAAAAAATATAAATTAACACAGATAAAATAAAACATCAGCAGATATGCATCAATGATGCGTATCAAGCAAGGTGATAACAAAATCCAAGCGATAACCGCATTATGACGACGCATTATCAATCACGAAGATCAGGATATCACGATTATCGTCGGTTTCCGGGGAAGAATGTTAAAATTGCGGTTATAGCACGTTTCGGTGTACGGTATAAAAGTCGATGGAACGAGAAGAATCTTGAATAATAATAATCAAAATTTTAGCACATCAGATTTGCCGTCACGCCTCGGATCGCGCGATCGGGGGAGATCAGTCGTACAACCGAAGACTCCAGGAGATCCCGAGAGGACGGCATTCCATTCGCTTTTTTTTTGGACGAAACTGTCGCGGTCGACATATTCGGCATTCTTTATCCCGTGCGCCGCGATTTCGGTACCACGAGATCGTCTCGCTAGAGTGATCTCGCGCAATCATCCTCGAGCCCGTTCGCCTCGAAGCATACCTCGATGAAGGCGCGCCCGATCCGGCCCGGTCCGCGAGATTCCATCCACAACTTACCGAGAATCACGAAAACACGGATAACACCGAACGGGAGTGGTTCACGGCACGCAGATGACAAATGTGCACTAGATCGTTCAAACACGCATACAACGGAAACCCGTAACGGTTTCCTCGAGCACGATTGGCCGGCGTGGCGGCACGGATCGTATAGGTAAATAGGTCGTCAACTCCTGTAGCTCCGGTCGGGAAGAACGTTGTGAACGACCGGCCTGGCCACTTCACTTGGGAGTTTGTGTGTATTTTAAAACAAAATAAAAATTAGTACGAACTAAAAAGTATCGAAGTAAAAGTGAGAAAATTCACTAGATTGTAACTTCATTTGTCGAAAATTAGTAAATTTCTTTTTGTTATTTTTACTTCATTTCAAGATACATAATTAACCTTCTGACCGGGACTGCACTTAGGAAAACACACATTGTTCTTTACAGCTGCGCTGTCCTTAAATATAAAATGAATATGTAATTAAATGTTGGCTAGAAAAAGAAAAAGATAAATAAAAAGAAAGACTCAGCTAAAAAGAACAAACCTATGATTCGCGTGTTCAGCAACAATTGCTGAGCTACAAGCGTGATGTTATTAGTTGTTATTGGTTGTTAGGGTTTCTACAAACAACAAACTTAAGCAGTAAAATGTGAGACATCGATTATTTTTCTCACGGTCGAATAATAATAATTTTGGTTACTCGTTTAATCAATTTTCTTACTGTTTAAATTTTTTTGATGCGAGAATCTTTACAATTGCACTCGGCAAATTAGCTTCAGTTGGTAACCATAGTAATGCAGCTGTTGCTAATCGCTCTAATGTCACTAGAAAGCTTTCTCTCTCTGGGCTGGGACTAGTGATTTTTTTCTCATATGAAAGTAACCTTCAAACAGTTCTGTCAAATTGATTGTTTTGTTAAAGTTTACCTGACTTTTTTGCGACAAGTAGGTAAATCCATAAATGTCAGCTATTGACATTATTTATGTCTATGTATTCATATAAGAATTTCTGCAAATTATACACGTTCTCCTGAATATTTCAAAAAAGAGCTGTACACATTAACATACACTGTTAACAAACGATAAAATTAAATATTTCTTTTAAAGAAATTTAATCAATTAAACAAAGGATGTTATTTTGTTTTAAACTATAGCTATCAAATAAATCTTGGGATAAATAGCAATAATTGATTCGTACATTTTTTGACTCATTGTTGTATTTTGAACGATGAATATACAAAGATCTATGATATTTTCATATTTTAGCTCTTGAAATGTCGCCCATCAAGTTGCTAGAAGACAGAATTGCTAATTTAGAGAAGCAAGTGTACGGAATTGGCAAGACAATTAATATTGATGATCCAGTACCTTCAAAGACGATTGTCGATCGACTCACAGATGCTAATTCACTAATCAATTCGGCATTGTCAGGTAGAGAAAAGCCAAATACACTTATTAAGCGATTGCCAGAATTAAATGGTTACTTGGAGCCTACTTCTGAAGATGTCGATATGCCCACAAGCGCTAAAATACAATTGTTGTTGACAATGGAACCAGAAATCTTGGAGAATCACAAATTGTTAACCCAACTGCAGGAACTTGCACCTGTGTTGCAATCAGAACGTATCAAAGATGCGCCTGAATTAAATAATACATTTAACAAAATATCATTGTCTTATCTTAAAGCTTATGAAGATTCCAAAGAGTTGAGTGCTCACGTACATGATCTGTTATCTAAATACAATGCAGTCATAAACAGTATATCAGAATCATTAATTATTTTAGATAATGCGGTTACAGCTGCAGAAATAGCAGCTAAACCGAAGAAACAAACAGATGATGATTAATGAAATAATTGTTCCATTTCATTTAAGTATATTACTTATATTATGTTTTTACACAAATTGGTATTTCAATACTACTTCAATTCTTTATAGTGCAAATTCACTTTTATCACTCATCTTTTAACTTATTTATTAGAAATGTTAAAGAAGTGTTTTAAAAATAAATTTTTTAGCAGTAGAAAGAAAATATACATATTTAAAATACATTTATTTATCATATTTATTTGAAATATAAAAATACGCATTCGTAAATACGTATATATGTAATATATATCGTAAGTACGTATGAATATACTTTATTTAATTTCTATAACAATGTATTTTATTAAAAAATAATCATATATTATATACATTTATATCTATTGCTTAGTTCTATTCATGGTTCATTTCAGGAATCCTTAATTAGGATCTCTGAGACAAACTGTCGATTTGTATATAATCGGGCATGTGTTATATATTGTGCAGTCTCTTGTATTAAAAAAATTATTATCTAATTGTTAATGCGTTAAGTGTGCCAGAAATATTCGATATATCACAAAAATTGTTTTTGATTTCACTGAAGGCAACAGCAAATTTCGTGTAAATATGGTAATAAGCAGGAATTTTATATATAAAAAATTCTTTAAGAGACCAGTTATACTAATAAATTCTTATACCACATTATAATAATAAACGTATTTACTTTATACAGTATTTACATAATGTTTTCTTAATTATAAATCAGTATAATTTTGTCATCTTTGATTTTTTTACAATTGTCATAATTCTTGTACAAAATTTAAACATTCTCCTTTCATTCTGTCATACAATAACGATATTTGATTTTTCTCATATGATAATCCATCATAGATATGATACATTATCAAGAAATATCGTTAATATTTCATACATTATCATAAAATATCGTTTGTATTGTCAATAGGAACATTATGGTTAGAAAAATAGGTCTTGAAATTTGCAAAATCTTGAAACGATAAATGAATATAATTTTTGAGCGAAAAAATATTAGGAGAACTTAAATTTTTGTTTTGTTATACAATTTTTATATATATATATATATAT